ACTGGCATATCGGTGGATGCCATGGTAATGGATGCTTTTTCCATGGTTCTATATCAATCAATTCATTCACAAACAAATGTGTTCTAATATTCAGAAAAAATATATTAGAATTATGATATGATGTAGTACAACATTTGAAGTACTTACGCGTAACCTTTGTTTTCAGGCGATAAATAAATAGGTAAGTATTGCTTTCCATCTCCAAACATTAGCATAGAACTATCACAGTCAGATATCTTTGGCCAATAGTCAGCTTCAAAATCTTCATTTCCTTTCTTAATTTCCACATTGTGATATTTTGGACTCCTTGTTGGCAATGCAAATAAATTATTGTACTCCACATTTAATTCCGTAATTATGTCTGAAATAATATTAAGTAGATATTTGGCTATATACCTGATTTATTCAATCTACACCTGTTGCAAAAGTACCTTTTGTAATATGATTGCTGCGCTCCTTTACTTGTTTTTGTAGATTTTTCAATAGGTGAAGACTAACATGAACATTCTGCAACATGTTCTCAGCTATTTTCTTCCTGTCTCCCAAATTCATATAAGATAATATAATATTATTATCGATATGATTAATTGACCTTTCAACCGGATTTATCGCAAGTAAATGTAAATTCTGCTCTCGTGCAAAAGCGAGCTTAATTTCTCTAGTAGTAGATTTAATATTTTGCTCCCATAGCATATGCTCGTAAAGTTTAAACCACTCTTCCTTCCAGTCGTGGTACATATGAATTTCTGATAACACATTCTGCAAGCGTCTGTAATAATTATAATCATAAACATTTCATCAGTACTGTTCTTAAAATGGAAATAACAATATCAACTTACTGATCAAATAATAACAAAGACGTTTCCAAAAAACGATGACATAATATGGCATATTTCATTTGTTTGGCTTCTAGTGTGTCAGGTGCCAATCTCAAACAATTATCATAACACGCTGCAGATCGATCAAAATCACTGAGGGACGTGTAAATATGGCCCAGCGCCAAATGATGATAACTTTCTGTTGGATTATAATCTATCGCTGCATGTAAAATAATCGCGGCTTCGCCAGAATATCTTGCAGCGTGTAAAATGCCGGCAGTAGTCAGAAGAGGAATATCACGATATTGCCTTAATCACGTACAATGCTTTCGTTACGAGATCAGTCTTTCGGCGATACTTTTCTCTAGTATCTACATATAAACGAATTTCTTATTATATTGCATTACCTTGGAGCGCATACGATCGCTCTACGACTGCATTCTAAAGCATTGTAAGCATCTCCCATAATCCGCCAATAAATCGACGCTAGATTCAAGTATATCCATGAGGTATTATTGCGAGTTAAGCTGTAGGCGAGTTGTTGACCAAATTGATTAAGATCAATATTCAACGGTAGATACTTCATTAAGCTGAGTTCTTCATGTTGCGTAAGATTTTTTCGGTTTTGCATTGCCTAATAAACAAAAATGATATCACAGACATGTTGTGGCTTCTGTGTATAAAGAATATTCTACCTACTTTAAGATGTTCGAATGTGTATATACTGAAATCTAATGGAAATGTTCTCTGACAATCTGGAATTGTTGGTTTACTATTAGCCACCACATTATATAACATATAATCAGCTTGGCTGTAACAGAGAGTATTATGTCATCATTCAGTGTTCAAAAAAGAGGTATATAGGCTTGATTACATTCAGAAAACACAATGAGTGAATGAAATCTTAATACTACTGGTCTTTTTACATTTACTCACAGTTACTGAGCAACAATTACTGAGCTCTATTTCAACTGTTGAGTTTTTCAAACATACCCAAAAAATATACTAAATTTTAAAATAAAGCATTTGTTTGAATAGTAAGTATTTGTTAAACAACTAAGTATTTATTAAATATAGTTATATTTATTTGGTAGATTGAACCATTAAATTGATTTAACTATTTTTTATTAAGTAAATATTGAATTACTGTAAGTGAATGTTTAGTTGGTACTATTCAAATAAATATTTGTTAAGTACATTTTTCTCAGTGTAGTAATTCAGAAAATACAATCAATAATTGAATAAGTATACTAAGTAATTATTATCTGTGATTGTATATATAGAACTTCAGATCCATAATGAATTTATCAGAAAGCAGCGAGAGCTTAATCAACTGTTGCGTTTACTGAACACAGTCATCTTGATAGTCATATGAGACTTATAATAACTTACTCTATGCTATCTTTAAGTCTATAATCGATTATTATACTAGCGTGCACGTCAACATCAGCCAATGATTTGTCCCACGAGAAACAGTCCGAATTTGAATTTTCTGCATCAGCCATGCCTAGACCAATAAACTGATTGTCAATGGACACTTCCTTCCTTGATATTTTTTTGTATATTGCATCGGCTGTATCCCTGCGTTTTTCTTGCTCCAAAAATCCCAAAAGATCATACGGTCGACGCATATCAAAGACACTGTCATGCTGGAAATGTGAAAAAAAAAATATAGTTTCAATACCAAATAATCATGTTTATCGAAAGAATTGCTAGATCATCAAAAGATAACGTGATGTTTACATTTGCATATGACGATTTCACTGAAAGAATTGGAACCAGGTATTCCGCGTATTCCACGAATCGTGTCTCAATGAATCGTTCAGAAAAGAAAAATCTCACCTGCGGCTGAATTCTGCCATTTTCCGTGACATACCAATGCTTGGTGGCTGAGATTTCGAGTATTATCGCAAGTATCGTGACAATCCTGCAGGACACGTTGCTCCGGATCATTTTCCGCGGTATAACCCCATATGACATGCCACAGGCCTCACCGAGTCTGCGAGAGAAACTTAACAGCGTGGACCATTGCTGCGAAAACGTGCACGTTTTTGCACACAAATTTCGCAAGAAACGAACGAAAATGGTTACTGCGTCGCGAAATTTTCTACCGGAATGATACAGGTCGATTCGAAATGATTCGAACACGATTACGATACGACGCGGATCAGTGGCTGTCAACGACGGCGGTCGTCACTTCAAGTACAGTGATATCGAATCGAGTTGTTAGTCACTGATGATACGAAAGAGACTAGAGACCTCTAGAGCGCTACTTACCTGTTACCATCGAAATCGTCCATACGTTATCGTCAGTAGATACAATTTTCAGTTACGCTACATCAATTTCCTGTCGATAAATTAATTATAACGCATATAGAATTACGGACGATGACGATCACCATGGATGATGGACGGTCTTTCTTTGCGGTTTCTCTCAGTAGCATTGAGAGTAATTTTGGCCACGTTTACCTCGTTGCGGAGGATCAGGGCCAACAATCTACTACGAAGAAGAAGTATTGAGAGTATTTGAAAGAATTGAAAGAAGCAAGTGGACCCGCAATAGAAACACCCGAGATCTAGCTTAACCGTTACGGCATGTCTCATCGGTATTTATAAGTTTAAATTTTCACGGTCTGATATAAGATTTGATATTGTATTTTTTCAATTTGTTAATATTTGTTATAAATAACAACTATCGTTTCGTAAATTTCGGTAAACCTACCTAGAAGCTTTCAACTTTTTTTTATCATTAATTTATAACTTTATTATAAGACCAATCAAAGGTCAAATGATTTTCTTTGATGATTGATTGAGACATCTAGAAAATTTAACGAATTATCATTGACTTCTAAAGTAAATTATAGAGGATGGAAAGAATTAAAAGCGTTAAGAATAATCTATCTTAGATATTGAAACAAATATTTATACATGTGTCACGAGCAATATTATAAGAACCTGTCACTTTTAAACTATCAAAGAGTTTTAAAATATTTTATACAAATGTTTAATGTCATTTTATTAACATTATTATAAATTATTATATTATCATGAGTATATTATTATGAATATCTATATGTTACTCGTGCAAAACTTGTAAGCTACAATTTAATTTTATTTATTCCGTTATTTATTCTGAAAATAACACAGTCGAACAGTTTGTTTCAGTGTTTGTTTCTAAGTCCGAGCATACCTGAGTCCGAGCATACCTTATTTACATATCTACTATACACTATATACTGAATAAATCCCCACTTTGTCCGCTACGCCACCTCCGATGCGCAGACCGAGGTCATTTTCTCGATGAATAGAGTATAGAGTTATAGTTGGATATAAAAAAAATTATACAAGAATTGATATGAATTCTTTTTGAAAATTGACTTATTACGTGTTCAAACTCCTTATATTTTACAGTTCTGTTATCAGAAGTTTGCATATTTTCCCAAATTTCAAATTCAATCAAAATGAAATTGATAATTTTATTTTCGTATAAATAAAAGAAATTCTCAGCTTCAAATTAAATTAAATATCTTTATTAGTTATATAAGCAAACAATATGTTTCTTTTTACATATAACTTTTGTACAATTATGTTATTGTAACGATCACAATAAACTCGCCTATTATCGCAGTCGCACAAAATTTGTAACAGCACTTGCAATCGTTATTATTGCGATCGTCACAAAGTATGGTAATTTCAGTCTTATCTTTCTATAACGTATGACAAATATATGCGCGTATTTGTGTCGCATTAACTTGGATCATTCGACAAAGTTTATGTATTTGCACCATTTTCTCTTTCACTTACAAACAGTCGCGACATTTTGCATAAAATAGTCGCGAATCTCCAACAAAATCTTCAATCGCGTCTTTCCTTGGCCTTGACGGCCTTGGCAGGGATCAGTCTCTTTAATTTTCTTCGTCGAGGTACGCCGAGGTGGCCCGCGCCTGCGTGCGTCTGCAGCCCGCACTCTCGGCTCCGACTGTTCCGCCAATTGCGGAATGTTATGAAAGTCCTCGAGAGACTCCGCGGCACCGTCCCTGTTCATAGTCTTGGTAGCGTGAACGGAACGCGGATCGGGATCCGAGTAGTCAAGTGGATAGTCAGGGCCGAGATCGCGATCGCGCATATAGTGCGAGTTCTCTTCACAGCGGCGGTGCAGAACCACCTCTTCGTCTCGCAGCCATGAGCCTGGTGCGGCAGAGCTTCCACGAGGAGTGCGAGGACGCGCTCAACAAGCAAATCAATCTGGAGCTATACGCCAGTTATGTCTATCTGTCCATGGTCAGTTGGCCGTATTGATCAGGCTATCTCGATATTCCCAGTTTTCAGTCACCCCTTCGCCTTCAAGCCGCTCGATCGAAACTGCACCCCCGCGCGCGCGCGCGCGTACTCCAATATATATCGTGCACGTTCGCCTCTTTCAACGCTACCAGCTTAAATCTTTCATGTTACCCTGGACATTACGTTTAAATAAAAGTTATACCTATTCAGACTTAGAGACGTTGCGAGGGAGATATCCTCCCCGTTTGTATTATCTTTCTTATTGAATACATCAATCATTACGTCGTATTAAAGTTCCATTATGCCTTTCGCTAACTCTTGCTATCTACCTTTCTAATCTAATATTACATATTGACGATTAAATAAATTCTTAATACAACTACGTGCAGTTTTCATACGATCCATCAAAGTTCGCGTGACGAAAGTTACAGCTATAAATAAACGCGCTTATATATGTATCTAACTAACTTTTTGCACTTCCGAATTAAAAATAAATCGACGAATGTTGATCGTAAGACCTGAACTGCAATAGGTATAATAAACTTTTCAGCATCTTTTGAAGATTTTGCATGCTATTTGTATATATAAATAAAGAGAGAATTGAAATAATACAATAATGAAATCACTTTAAAACACTTGTAAAAATGGACCGAAATTATCCGTATTCTCCCTGACAATCAATAAATAATCATATAAATATGAAATAGAAAATAAGCCCATAATACTCGTATTATACGTGGTTTCATTTTATACGTGGCTTTTTTAATTATTTACTGATCGTTAGAGGAGGTAATAAAGATAACTCCGGTTTATTTTTACAAAAGTTTTAAAGCGATTTTATTATTTTGCCTTATCAAAATTTTTTTCTATTTACAAACGGCGTGCAAGAAACTTCAACGTGTCTCGCGTATTGTTGGTACGATTACCATAATGCTACAAATGCTTTGAAGCGCGTATTCCTTGATTGATAAATTCGTAAAGTTCTTCTCATTGGTCAATCAAATACTTCCAAACATTTGTAGTAGCTTTGGTTACGCTATAACGTTACGATTTTATACAACTCTAAAGTTCAGGTCATTACAACTGTAAAGAGTTCAGAGGAAAATGTAAAATAAAGATTTTTCTGATGAAAATTTCTCTTAGAATTCTTCATATAATTTTTCAATTTTTTATATATAACTTAGAATACTTTTCAGAAATTTTGGAAAGATCCACATCTCTTTAATACGTGAATTTTGAAATATTCTAAGATTCTTTATTCTATAATTTCTAAAGAGAGAGAGAACATTTTTTAATTCTAAAAAAATTTAATATTTTTTTAGAAATCTTTATAAATTAAAAATGTAACAAATTTTTTAAAATATTATGAGATATAATATTTTTTCACCAACAAAAAATTACTCTGCGTGTCTTTGCAGATCAGTGATATATTTTTTTCAACTGAACTTCTTGCACAGTTTACATTTATCTTTTTATTCTCTCTAACATGAAAAAAAAAGAAGAGATAAATATACAAGAAATTCAGATAAAAAGGACGGATATCTAATCTAAACCTACTGATTGTAGGCGATTCCTAGCTCGTTGGAACTTATCCTAAGGTCCCGCATCTTGCACGATGCATCCTTCTGCATGCGTTTCGTTGCAGGCGTACTACTTTGACAGAAGTGATGTCGCGTTGCCGGGTCTGTATAAGTATTTCAAGAAGGCGTCAGACGAGGAACGCGAACATGCCATGAAATTTCTGACATATCAGAACAAACGAGGTGGCGACGTCGTGCTGACGGACATCCAGGCGCCGTCCAGGAGGAACTGGAACAGCGCGAAAGATGCTATGATGGAGGCTCTACAGCTAGAGAAGAGAGTAAATCAGGTGTGTATGTACAGAGAGAGAGAGAGAGAGAGAGAGAGATGTGTGCGTGTGTGTGTGTATGTGTATTGCCTGAGCGCATGCGTACGTATTAATTGATTCCGCTGTGAATAACGTACCAAGGTAAAAAAAGAATACTTTAAGTTGTTACTTAGCATTGTTAAATTTCTAGTTAATTGAAACGAGAAATGTATCTTTTCTTTTCTCCCCGCCCCTATCACCTACAAACATACCAGTTTGACTATGTACAATTTGATATTTCGCTTGTGAGTTGAACTATAGCAATAAAGTTCAATTTGGCGAGTCCCGTTAATTGAGTTTCAAGGTTTCTCATGCCATTTGTTAATTTAATTATTACAGGTAGTATAATTCTTTTGCTAAACACGTACGTACGTGGAAGTAGTGCGATTTTAAACTACAATGTAGCAATTGGGGGTGTAACTCAGTGGTAGAGTGTCCGCTTCGCATGCGGAAAGTCCTGGGTTCAAATCCCAGCTCCTCCATAGATAATTTTTTTTCTGCTTCAGGATATACGCGTGTTCGATTTCGTTATAATTTGGCATAAAAAAAATTAATAGAGTTGGGCATTTATATATTTAAATAATTTTTATTTAACGTGTGTGTGTGTAGTTTTTATTTAAACAAAATTTTATTCATTATTTGCATAATTCATTATTCGTGTTATCTATATTGATATTATTCATTACTCGCATTACTTTGTTTTTATCATTTATTATTCGCATTTCTATTATTAGTTAATCTACTATTCAAATAGATAATTCACACAGAACACATACACGCGCGCGCGTAAGTACGTACACACATGTTTGCTATACGCGGTCATTGAATGTTTATTTCTCTTATTTTTATTTCTATGTGAAAATGAATTTTCAGTGCAAACCCAGACAGCACAAAACATCCATTGGACATCTAGACTTGGTTTCAATCTGGTCTAAACGTCCATGGACTTAGTACGAATGTTTTAAAAACGTATATGATCGTAAATTAATTTAGTGATTAATTGTTCTCTTGATTTCTGCAGAAGTTGCTCGAGCTTCACGGGATCGCTTCGACACACAACGATGCGAATTTTATGGATTTTCTAGAGACTGAATACCTGCAGGAGCAGGTGGACGCGATAAAGGAGATCGCCGATCACGTGACGAATCTGGAGAGAGTCGGGGAAGGCCTCGGTGTTTTCATCTATGATAAAGAGTTAAAAGATTAAGACAACAAATAATATCATATCTAAAATATTTGCCAAAATAATTAAATGAATAAAATAACGAACATTTAAGTGTAGGGGATTTTAGATATCCCTACAAAATGTTAACAGAGAATGTCAGCAGATTTGATCAGAAAATCTCAGCAGACATCACCTGCAATTGCATTTTCCTTCCGTTTTGTCGAACAGAATTAATTACCTGCACAGAACATCTATTGGAGACATCCAGACTTGATTTCAATCTGATGAAAATTCTGTTTGATTTCTGCCACCAGTTTGCTCGCATAAAATAACAACAGGTCTTATCAAATTTTCATAACAGCAATTTGTAGACATTATTAGATATTACAGATTTTATAAAATTTATTATTGCCTTTCTGGTACCAGAATGTATAACGAACTCTGCTCAAAATTTATCTGTTCAGATTTGGCTGACATGAGTAAATTATATCGCGAGAATGCAACGTTGATTCGCATATATAATAAATTCGATATTAATAAAAATATTTATATTGAGAGAGAAAAACATCTAGATATGCTGTATATGAATAGATAGGCGAGGAAATGTTTCATGCGTATATTATTGTTCGTATTTGCAGTTTTGCACTCCGATTGCAGAGGAAGAGATATATAGAGTTGATATTAAGGAGTTTTCCAACAAGGAATACAAGTGACATAAAGTGGCACAGTGTTCAATATAATGCTATTCAATAATAATACAATACGGTACAAATATATATACATAACTAAAAAGCTGGAATTGTTTATCATGCATGGTAAATGTGCATGGCTATTAACTATTTAGAACAAATAAAAAATTTCAATGTGCTGTAAAAAAATTTGACAGCCTTTAAACAACAAACAACTTCAAACAATGCTCCTATATCTGACACTGTGATTATGTCTTCTAGTCGGAAAGTTTCTCTAAGTATGTATTATAAAAGATTTAAGGAGTAATTCCTCACATAAATTCAAGATGAAAACTTTATATGACCATATGATATCTAGGGAAAAAATTGTTATCTAATTTAATAAAAATTTACGAATTTCTAAAAAATAAATCTCATTCTACATTCCACTACGATCATACTTTATGCTAAAACAAACAATTTTTTCTTTTAGCAAAATTACGTCCGACAAATAGTTTTTACAAGAGAGCTTGTTATAAATGATCGTATAATATAAAGGCTTTGCTTAATTTATGTGAGGAATCACTCCTTAAAATCTTTTAGAATTATACTTAGTATTCATCCCTGTATATATAATTAGTGTGATCTTATGCGGCCACTCGTCGCAGAAATAATCAATTATAACTTAATCGTGCAATTATCTAGCAGTTAACTTTTTGAGATCTATCATATTTTTAGGCTCTACAAATTGTAATAGCACACACGATATTGTACCGTTTTAAATCAAACAGTAATTACAATAAATAATAATCATTGAGAAGATCCTTCTATGATTGGACTGATTCCTTAAGGCACCTTGTCATGCTGACATTCGACCGTTCATTTTCAATTATAATATAATTTTTAATGTTTTTATATATTCTCTCTCTACGTGTCAAATTCCTTCCCTCTTTCTGCACTTTCCGAGTAAAATGTGAATATATTTTAACATTTCAGAATGCAAAAGATTCGCAAAAGTGCCACTAACAATGAAAATAATATGAGTTTTTTTTATCAGGCTTATCGACATGCATGACTCTACCACGTGTGAGTGTATAACCTTCGCGCCTCTGTGTGTGTGTGTGTGCGTGTATGTGTGTGCGCGCGTGCAATCTGGTGCTGGTGTATCAATCCATCGTGATCGTCTCCTACTGTCAGTCAGCAAGATTTCACGACTATGGAGTTCATGATTTAATATGGTGTAACAATTGTCATACTCCTAGAAGTCTGTGTACATAAACGTTATGTGGCCCTGAATTGATGGCTTCGTAATTAGCCTTGTTAGTGCGTTCATCAGCGCTGAGCCGCGCAAAGATGCATTCATTGTATATCGTCGTCGGGGGGTTGCTTAGCATATCTTCGCTCATCTGCGGGGTAAGTGGACCGTTAACACCGGCAGTCTGTTGAAGATCTTTGTGGATTTTTATGCGCGCACTTGTAACGCAAGGGAATCTTTCAGAGCGAGCTCGAGTACGATGGCTGGCTGCAGTTGAGGTTATGGCATGCGTTTAACGACGATCCGGTACCCGTGTTCACAGAACGAGGAAACGTTACTGTATCCAGCGTACGTAGCGGTGCGTCCGTCGTTGGGCAGAATGGTCTGCTACCGGCGCAAATAAACGCTCTGAAAAATCTCGCCGAGCACGATGGCAAATATAGACTGAAGGCGCTAGCTCGTATCTCTTCCGGCAGCGAAATCGTATTCCTCACCTCGGTGCCAGCGGTAAATATCTTGCGAACAAATCTCTAGAAATTGTCCATGTCCTACTGATAGATTTTTTTGATAAAGATTGAATCTACATACTTGAGGACACTCGTCTGAATAATTTAGATTATTTAGAACGAATTTGATCACTTGCATTATACACGTTATATAGAAGTACATATAAAAGTTGTTATGCATGAAATTGGTATAGTTAAATGTATTTATGTACTAATTAAATGCATTTATATATTACAACTTAAGTGCACCTTAATAAGTTTAACTAAATTCATTACAAGAGTTGTCCATGTATGGTGAAACATTCTCTTATTAAATTTTTCACTCGCATTGCATTGAATTAGTATTAAAGACTGCTTGAATATGAAATGTTTAAACAAATATTTTTAATGATTATATATAAATACTCATTATAATAATATATTATTTAACAGAATATTACATATGTTATTTTATTGTCAAAGTTTATATATTTTACTATTTAGATATTTAATATAAAGTAGATATTTAATATAAAGTTCTTATTTTTCATAGATTTAAATTCATTTATACTTTAATATTATAATTTAATAATTTAATATGTCTTTCAACATATTATTAAGATCCAATTTTAGATGCTATAAGCATCAAAAATTGTGATATTACTACGGTAGTTGATTAGATTTGCGTTTAAAGTTCGACAAAAAGTTCGACGCGCAATAATGGGGGGAACTACTTACGTAGTATATAATATTCACATTTTAACATATCTTATATGATCGCACTAACAACAGCTGAAGGGACTCTCATTTGCCGGTATTATTCTTGTTATTTGAAACTTTCGAGAGTCATCTTTAATTGATTTGTTAATATAAAGTAGCCTTTAATGTGTATTAATTCAGTATAGTGCAATGACGCAAGTGACTGAATTTACCATTAGAATATTTTGATGGTGAAATGCCTCGACGTTGGCTTGAACAAATCTAAAAAAAATTCACTGGTGTACTAGGTGGTAATAAATAAATTAACATAAAGAATGTGTTTATAAGTCTTATAAAAATCTGTAACATATCTGTAAATTACTCTCACTAGGTCTGTGAAACTTTATATTTATAATATATAGTGATTAAAAGACAGTAATTAATTTTGAGTAATTAGTTTATTTTATTTGACAATATATTGTATCTTATTACAAATACATTATATTTTATTTTGAGTGTTCTGATTGTATTGTTTTCAATTTATAGTGCTACCTGCTTGGTTCAGATCTAGAAGATGTCATAACGATATGGTTGGATGCTACAGCAGAGCCGATAGCTGTGAGCATTTCATCTTCAGGTCCCTGTACATTAGATAATCCCTTCACAAATATGTGGACCACAAATGTTGTGGTCAAATATCCAGATGGCGGTCCAATTCCCGATACCGCTACGTACATTCAGAAGCTTGAACGAGAACGGGAAGCAAGAGAGAGAGGAGAAACTAAGGATAATCGTTCGTTTCTTGCAAAATATGTAAGACTATTTTTGTAGAAATTTATACATATATATAGAAATTTTATTCAACGTAAAACTCATTCCTTTTTGTTGCAGTGGATGTATATCGTTCCTTTCTTGATCTTTTTGCTGTTGTCATCCGCGCCGAATCCAGAAGCTGGCGGAAGTGCACAAAGACAATAATCTTCTGATATTAGGTCATTAAGTATGAAACGTTCGATTTTCGTATTACTATTAATAGCAGCAGTAACTTCGATTAAAATGCGCGAAATTTAAATTTAAAAATAGAGTTTTAAAGCTTAAAATCTCTATTTTCAAAAGGCCGCTGTGTTTTTGAGTTTAATAGTTTTTTTATGTAGAAAACTGAGCAGGATAAAATAAAATTTTTTTGTGAGCTTGTTATGTGCTTACAAAAAATTTAGGAAAATTTTCGACTTTCAAACATAAAAGCTCAAAATTTTCTCTACAAAATTATTTTTTTAAATTGTTTCTAAGATCTTTTGTTACTGAGTTATCGCGAATAAAAAAAAAAGAAGCATTTTGACTTTAACTGTTTACAATTTCGTTAAAAAATCATTGTAACGCAATTAAAAAAAAAACAGATTCTCAAAGTTGATATTTTACTTTATCGAATAGTATATAATTGTCAAATTTTTTTTATACATGTAAATATTTCGTATTATTTATAATACGAAAAACAGATATTTTGTACATAATGATCTAATGAAAATAATTTGTGCCTGCGTGTGCATTATATCCTCAAAGAGCGATTTTGTGAAAACTGTCGAAATTTATAGTATAATTTCATAATGTGATAGAAATAATATTAAATTATGAATATTATTACACGATATATATAATTACATTTCTGCTAAAATAAATATGTATAATTACTAAATTGGATATATTGCTTATATTATTTTAAATACAATAAAAAAAATAATAACGTATTGAATGATACAGCTGTGACATCTGTAAACAGCAGAGTCAGTTGTAAAATCAATATTCTATCACCGTGCCAATAGCAAGGGCATAACATTGGCAAAGCATACCGCGACAATGTTACGCTAGTTCAGAATGGCAGAATTCTCCTTAAATATTCAGAAACACATAAAAGCAAATCTTGTCGTAAGTGGAAAATTTGATGGCTCGCACGCATGTCTTGCGGCTGCTACACCTGGCGGAACCATTTTGGTGCACAGTCCGCATAGGCAACCACAAGTCGATTATTCTGATCACAAACAGTCGAATAAAAGATTGTCATGGAGCGGGGAGCTTGCGGAGCTTCAAATTGGTACCGAGGTTCGCATATATTGAAATTAAAGTGTTATATATAATTCGTTTCATATATAAATAAAATTTTGCACCATTCGGCGATTTTATTTCATGCCTTCCTTATGTACCAAATATTATCTGGGTGATACCAAATATTATCTAATATCTAGGTGAAGTCATTATGTACTGGTCGTCTTGGAGAAGATGAAAGGGATATTCTTTTGGTTGGTACTATTTCTCACGTACTTGCTTATCATGTCGAAGACAATGCTGATGTTTTCTACAAGGAGGTATTTTGATTATAATTTTAAAAGTTATAAGTAAGTTGGATGTAGCTTATGATACTAATTACTTCAGATGTCGGATAGTGCAAATTGCATACTTGTCGCAAAAATTGGGTGGTTGCCAAATCATGTTGTAATAGTAGGTGGCAACTGTTCAGTGACAATCTTAGATGCACATGGGATGGAAATATTTTGGACTGTAATGGGGGGTATAGTCACTTCATTAGCAGCGTTTGATTTTGATGGAGATGGAGAAAATGAAGTAAGCGTATAAAGATTCCTAAATTATTTAACGTAAATTTTTCATATCTTTTTCTTATTAAAAAATCTGGAACTTTGAAGAAGATAATGTCTGTTTCTACTAATGTAGATTAATTTACTTTTTTATCTTTTTATATATAATTCTAAAAATTAAACAAAGAAATTAAACCGAGATTCAAATTAATCTATATTGGTAGAAATAGACAAGAGACTCTCATTTTGCATGTTTTTTGTTATGCGTCTTAATTAACAAATTATCTTATTTTTTTAGTTACTGACAGGTACAACAGATTTTGAAATTAGAGTGCAGAAGAAAGAAGCTATACTTTGGGAAACTAAGGAAACAGCAGCGATTGTTGTTTTTACTGATCTTCCGAATAGACAGTTTGCTTATGCTCTTGAAAACGGAACAATTGGTGTCTACGAAGCGGGGCAGAGACTCTGGCGAGTTAAAGTAAAACGCTTATATGTAGCTGATGTAGTAAAAATTTTTTTACCTATGCTAAACAATCTGATTGAATAATAAGTAAATTAAACTAGACCACCATAAAAAATGAAATAAATAAAGAAAAGCCTACAAATATGGCTAAGATTAGATCTCTTTACAATTAATGCTTAATAATATTTTATATTTATATGTAAATTTTAAACAACTTTTTTTAACTGCGCGTTGATTTTTGTCGGACTTGAAATCTAATCACGAATTTAAAGAGAAGCTGAAATAATAATATATCACAAATAAAAATTGATTGTTAATTTAATATAATGATGTTAAAAATAATATTATGAATTAAGACATGCAAAGAACTTATTGCACAAAATATTATCTCAGCCTGGATTTCAATATGTAACTTGTAATATATATATTATTATTTTAGCTTCAGTTTGTAATTGCGTTACAAAATCTAACAGTGATTAGCATACATGGCAGTTTATATAACTGAAAGGCATTTAAAAATTCACATATTTATTTATATAAAATAAATTATATATTTGTATATAATATTTATATAAAATATTTTGGGGGCACTAAGATCTAGCTTTGGCCGTATATTTGGCCCTTCTTTATTTAATCTAATTCAATTTATAAAATATATTTCAGTCAAAGCATAAGGTGATATCTGTAAGCACTTTCGACATAAACGGCGACAGTGTATCGGAGCTGATCACTGGTTGGAGTAATGGAAAAGTAGATGCGAGAACGTGTAATACTGGTGAAGTTATATTCAAGATTCAGCTATCATCTGGTGTGGCAGGCATAGTGGAAGCTGATTATCGAAGAACTGGTAAACCCGATCTGGTGGTAGTTTCTACCAATGGCGAAGGTATAAACTTGGAATTCGTTTTCTTTGCTAAATAGCTATGATACTTGCTATAATGTTTTTATTTAGCTCTCACGCTTTTTGTAGTACGCGGATATAGCGCTGGCTCTGCCATGCAAGCTTCGGAACCCGGCGAGATAATTCGTGAACTATTAGCCAAGAAACAGGCACTTCAGATGGAATTGCGACAGAGGGCTGCGACGGGTTCTAGTATGTACTACGGATCGAGGTTGGCCATTAGCCTGCTGACAAAGAAGGGCGCAGCTCGCGTTGCGCTTGCCGCTGGACCCGGGCTTCTGGTAATATGTTACATATGTGCATCACACGTCTCTGAACTCCAATAAACACCAACATTAGTATTATAATATAATTGTACTCAACAATAAATATGATAGAACACATATTGTATATACTAGTTGATTTCATCAGTTTCAAATTTTTCTCAAAAATAGAATATCCGTTAATTAAATTCGCATATTTTATAAATATAAAATAATACTTAGGTATATTGCGCCATAGTCTTTGCCGAAGGCGTTTTTGAGGGCGAGACACTGGTCACGCATCCCAGTCGGCCGCAAGGGGAGTTAGAGATCGCGCTTTATCCTGCCAAAAATGATCCCGTAGATATTCACGTTAAGGTGTACGTAGGACCCCCCAGTACCGATCTATTACAGGTATTCGATAATTATTGTAATTACGTAATGTAACTCTAACGAAAAATTTTTCTCATATTATCTCGTAATGTTTTTAAAAATTCGATATATTTTAAATTTTTGTAGAACACATTTTTGAAAAAATATAATCTTATACTTTTTCTTAGATTTTATAAATCATCTTTAGAAATTATAGAATATCAGAAATATTTTATAAAACTTCGAATATTTTAGAATTCACATACATAAAAAAATTTTTAAGAAAGATGTAGATGCCTTTTTAGTACTTTAAAAAATTTGTTAAAGTTATAAAATTATACAGAGAAATTTTAAAAACTTATATAAAGAAATTTAAAAAAATATCAGGAAATCATGTAAATTTCAAATTGTAATACAATTTAAGTTTAATAGGTCTTTGAAATAACACGACAGTTGCCAAGATTTTGTATGTATGAGCGTATCTTGAAGCCACAACATGTCCCGGAAGAATTATCGAGTAATGGCGTTGTGATGGATGTGAGTAATGTTTAAATATCATTGAGTTTTGATTTTAACTTCTGAAAGCTGACGTTAAAAATGAAACGAATGCATAATCCAATTCCATAGATCGCGGAAAGACCGCAGCGAATCGCTATCTGGCTGAACCAGAGTATCATCATGGGAGACGAACTGGAGGTTGCAGAAAGTGGCCTGAATGCCGGATGCATCGAAGTGTGGCTTCGTGGGATGCGGGACGACAAAGTGCATTGTTTCAAATCGAACGCCGGTGGAAAAGTGATAATCCAGACAGACGATGCGACGTTAGCTGGCGACATTATTCAATCTCTGACTATGTATTTAGGCGTCAGAGAACTAACTTCGGAAGCCACGTTTCCTGCGGAAGAGAAGAGAATGTTAGACGCGTTAGAGCGTGTCAAGGGTACGTTGTAAGAAAAGAAGAGATAGAAAAATACTTTAGAGCACTTTTACTATTGTGAAAAACATTTTCACGAAAATACATCGAGATATTTTTCAGGCTTGAAGGAAGTTGACGCGCGGCTCCAAGCAGAAGCTGCGGGTGGTGCCACTCTTCTGAAGAGTATTGTGATTCGTTTAGAAGATGCTAGAATTCTCGAGAACATCGACGATATGCGAAAGAGACTGATGCAATTAAAAAACATCAACGGCGATTTAATTCGAGAATACGAGATTCGGCTGAACAGTCATCGAGAACTCGCGGCCAGTTTAAAAGAATTGAACATCGGAGTGCAGCGTACAGCGAGACTCAGAGGTAACGTCCTTTATCGCATGACCATTGCTCTTCCTATTTCTTGGCAATTATATATTTATTCTTATAGTTGGAAAAGCTGCTTCCAACGCAATAGCTCGTTGCAGAACGGCGATACAGGATGAAAATCCGAAAGCTCTTGCACTTGCGATAAGACATGGCTAGATCAATCCTTGCAGGAGTTCAATTTATTACTGGTCAATTTAATAGTGACAGGTAGTCTTTCATTACTTATTTTGAATATTAAAAGCACAGCAACAATAATTACAATCTTCAAATATTAAATTTTTGTAAGGAAAATATAT